AATAATTTAATTTTAAACATCAAAAGATATTAAAATAAAAATTTAAATAATATAAACATGTTAAATTTAATATAAAGTTAATCATTTATAATTTAAATGATATTATAAGTTTTATTTTTTAAATTTTTATTTTTATACTTTATTGTATTTAAAAAAATTATGTATAAAAATTATATAAATGAAAAAATTTTTGGTCTTAAAATGTCAACTAAATAATTTTTATTTTAATATAATTATATAGTTGTTAAGAAGTAATTTTTTCTAATCATAAAATAATGATTAAAAGTTATATAAAAACTGGTTTTAAATGACCTTAAACAAGTATGTTATAAAAACAAATAGACATCATCAAATTAAATTTTTTTAAAAATCTTAATTTTTAAGTGTACTAAACATAAAATGTGCTTTAGATAGATGTTTTTGTTCTTTAAATATCAAATATAAAATTCAATTCTATGTAAAATTATGTTTTATTTTAACGAAATAATATCATTTGAACATAAAATCTCTACAGGGTTTCCAATTTAAAGATTTAAGTAATATTTTTATTTTCATGATAAATGTCACTCATTTAAACATAAATAAACCGAATCAAATGTAAAAATTTCTCCACATGGGGAAATTTTTGCATTTGTTAAAATTGAAATAAAAAACTAAAAGAATATCTGGATAAAATCCCTTTTTTATCCAGAAAATAAACTAATAAAAAACTAAATTTATTAGAATCTTAATAGAACCAATAAATCATTAAAGTTATTATTAAAACATACATTATTCTTCGATATTATTTTTTTTAGTAAAAAATTTATCTTTGATACCACAATACCTTTGTGTATCTTTGGAACAAAATTGCATTTATTCTATACACTTTAAATGTTTTGTGTATGTACATCAGTATGGTGGTTCACAAAGGTTCATTGTGATTAACAGTGAAATACAAAACTCACAAATTTTTGTTACCAATGCATACAAGAGCATGCCATTCATCTGCATGTATGATACCCCTAAGTAGACAAACTGCTTAAATTATTAGTAAAAATGTAGGGTCAGCTCTATTAGGTAAGGCATGTAACGATATTTTAGCTGAGATGAATGATACGTCTACCAAATTAATTACATATATCTCTCTTTCTTGCTGTCTGCCGTGATGGTATTTTTGTTTGTCTATAAATAGACTTTTATCTATTTGCACAATCATTCCATCATCTCCGAGGTGAAGTGGGTTTTAGTGGAATGTTTCAAACATTGCCTTTCTAGAAGATTAATTATTTTTATAATAACCTTTCTTCCCACGTTCACCTCTGACCCTATCTATACTTGAGTTTGGTTTTTAAACAATTTATAACACACCTTTAGTATGTTACTCAAAGGTACATTGAAACTTAATAATAGTAACTCGATGCGAATAGAAACGTATTTACTATAGTTAATACACCTATTGTTAAAACACTTAAATGTTACTCAATCTCAAATTTTAGAGAATGGGTTCGTTTTTATATCTTGTTGATAAAATACACACTTCAATACCTCTTCAATACTCCCTTGGTGAGAAGAAACTCTATCAAATTTTCAGTTAGCCCACGCAAAACCGGTTCTAATATACTGCTAAATCAATGATTCAAAGGTTGAAAATTTCTTGAAAAATATTTTATTATAAATTTTGATTATTTTTTGTTTGTATTTTTAAGGTCCATTTTCCACTTAAAAAAAGACTTGATCCGATGTCTTTAATTTATCTAAGTAATTAACAATAATTCAATAAACTAGTTTAGTAAAAAAGCATTTATCAACCAAAATACAATTGTTATTAATAAAAAATCTTGTAGATTTTTAACCTTTACTTATTTATTTTGGTTATTTATAAAATGTTTTTCATGATAATCTATAAGTATTTTACATTATATATCTATAACCTCTTTTGTTTTAAATTTAAAGCTGCCAATATTTATGGTAAGTCATATGATTATTATAAAATATTTAAATTGTGCTTTTATATTACATAAAATAGTTAGATTTGTTTATTAAATTAATTTTTAAAAATTAAATAAATTTTAAATTTTTATTATTTTTCTATTTAAAAATTATTCATTTTTTAACCCATGTTTAACTTATTATTTTTAACTAACAATAAAATTCTAAGAAGCTATTTAACAAATTCATTTTATATAAACTGTGTTAATAAAAATAATTCTATTGTTTCAACTATAAATCCAGATGTGTCAGAAAATCCAGAAATAACTGATGAAAGTATTTTACGTGTAAATAGCCAAGATCCTTTTCCTAATGTATTTTTAAAAACATGTTTAAAATCAGAATTTAAAGAAGAATCTATTGTTGAATCAGTAAGTATAGAAATATCTCAATCAAATTCACTAAAATATTTAATTATTAATAATTCGGATGATAAAAAAATAACATTTATCAAATACAATAATACTGAATATTATTATCCGTTAATAAGTTTAATAGATGCTGGAATAAATATGAAAAATCATTATATTTTTTGGCTTAAGCAAGACAATTTAACCCCTTGTAATCATATTCCACTATTAATTCAAAATTTTAAAAGTTATTTAATGTTAATTCAAAATATAATTAATGAAAAAAGTAGTCGTAAATTTCTAGATTATTATATAATATTGAAAAATTCTGAAAAAAACTTAGATGTTCTAAAACCTTTTAAATTAGTGCACTGCTTATTTAAACTACATGTGTGTTTTTTACTAAAGAATTTTTATTTTTCTCGATTAAAAGAATTATCTTCTAAGTTTTATGATTCTGTTAGGTTTAATATTCAATTTAATTATAAAAAAAATACAAACTTATTTTTAGCAGATATTTCATTATTAGATTCATATTTTAAAAATGAAGGTATAAAAGAAAAATATGAATTTATAACAAAAGAATTTGAAAATTTTTTTAATGAATTGGTATTTATTGCAAAATATTCTTTTTACCCATGTGACTTTAAAAAGTATGGCTTTAAATATTACAAAGATCATGAACAGATTGATTTATCATTTAAATCGTTTTATGAGGATTTTATTGAAAAAATATCGGGTAAAACACAAAGTTTCTTTAATTTTACTATAAATTCAGGAGATCAAGATCAAAATGACATCCCAAATAATGTGATAATTAATATTGTTAGTTTAAAACATGAATTTTATTTTATAAACAAAATCCTAGATTTTTTTATGTTTTGCCCTGATAGTTGTATTCAATATATTTACGACTATAGGGACATTGAAACAATCGATAATTAATTAAATTACGAAGTTAATTTTTTTATGGTTCTAAAGTATACAGTATGGGATACATAAAACTGTAAAATAAATTTTTCAAAATTATTTATTTTTAAAGATACGTTTTAAATCTTATTCTTAAAAAATAATATGTAAAAAGCATTGTAGAAGTTTTATGTATTAAAAAATAAAAATTGCTCTTATTAAATACTATTGTGTAAAATTGTAAATAATATTTTTTTAAAATGAGATCATTGAAAAATGGAAAATATAATAACTTTATGAAATTTTTCATCCTCCAAATTTTTTCTATAAATTTAGAAAAAAACACATCCAAAAAATGGGTAAACATTTTTCAAATTTTTTAAAGGGGCAAGTAATTGTATTAAGAAATTCAAATTTTACGTATAAACAAATATCAAAAAAACTTAATATCCCATTATCGTCTTGTCAATTTATAATTTAAAAATATAATAATTATAATACTACAAAACGTAAAATTGATACAGGTAAATATTCAAAGATTAACAGAAGTGATTATGAAATAATTAAAAAGATAAAAAATAAAAATAAAAAATTTTCAGCACCTAAATTAAATAAGGTATTTAGAAATTTAACAGAGAAAGTAATATCAGATATAACAATGAGAAGAGTTCTGAATGAATTAGGTTTTAGTAGTATTAAACCAGTTTCAAAACCAAAATTGACTAAAACACATAAAATTGCAAGATTAAAATTAACCAAAAAACTTCTTTTTGTAGGTAAAGATTATTGGAATGACGTTGTATTCACTGATGAGTCGTTTTTTTCAATGTATAATGACTCGGGAAAATATAAAATATGGGTAGGTAAAAATGAAGAAAAACCTGTTAATGAAACCATTAAATATGGTAAAAAGAAAATAATGGTTTGGGGATGTATGTCCTCTAAAGGTGTTGGTGATTTGCATTTTTTAGATAGAAACATGGATGCATTATACTATGTAGAAATTTTAGCAAATAATTAACCATCGTCAATGAAAAGTTTGGTTTTGAAAATTATAAACTTTTGCAGGATGGTAAACCTAAACATAGAAGTAAATTAGAAGAGAATATTTTGTATTTAACAACATCAAATTAGTAAATTGGGCATTTCAGTCACCTGATTTAAACCCAATTGAAAACTTTTGGGTTATAATAAAAAGAAGATTAAAGGGTATTGAATTTAATAGCATTAATGAAATGAAAGAAATCGCACAAGAAGTTGGCAAAATATAGATACTAATATATGTGCAAATCTTGTAAATAGTATGTCTAAGAGAATAAAAGGTGTTATAAAAGCCAAAGGAGGTCATTCAAAATATTAAATTTCCATTTCCATTTTTTATTGTCCTTTTTTTTATTTTTTATTTATTAAATTTTTATTAAATATTTTTCTGTTATTCTTTTTATAAATATAAACTTTTAAAAATATGATTAATATATTGAATTATTATCGAATAAAATTTTTATTATATTTCTAGAGGGTTTTAAAGTAATCTTATAATATTTATATTTTTATGTGTACCATACTGTAATATTTACAAAACTTTAAAATTTTCTCAACTTTAATGAATTTTATAACAAAATAATGATATTTTTTATTTAAAATATATTTATAACTATAAATTAGTGATGAATGTTGTTGTAACTTGTATAATTATCAAAATAATGTTATTCATAGAGATTTTATTCCAAAGTTTCTACATTGTTTAAAAAATGTAACTAATTAGAAAACAATTTAAATAACAGATATCATTTACTTAAAATAATAATTTTAATTTTTTTAAAAAATATATACAAAAAGACACAATAAAAAACTAAATTCATAAGAATTTTATTAAAAGCAATTAATCATCAAAGTTTTTTTGTAAATCCAGCATTATTTTTATACACAAATTTTTAGAATAACAAATCCAGCTTAGATGCTACAGTATTGAGCAAAAAAGTAAGATCACCTAAAAAATCATTCACAAAACCACACACATGTCACAATTAAAAATTTTTCTTTCACAGTATACATTAATTTAAAATTATAGAAATAAATTTGAAAACATTTTATACTTTTGTGTTTTTGTGTAAGTATAGAAATTTTTTTAAAAATATGTGCAAAAAAATAAGACCTCAAAAAATTTAATACTTGGTATTTTTTCATTTTACTTTAAAAGCTTTTAATATACGTTTATGAAAGCTTTTAACATACTTAGCTATTAGAAATTGAGGTATTGAATATCAAATATCTTTAATTTTCTCTCTCAATTCGATTTTTTTAACTTGCCCATTTTTGCTAACCTGTACTTAATATAAACCCACACGGCTTCAATGGGATTTAGATCTAGACTCTGTGGATATTATTCTAAAACATCAATGTCATTTTCATCAAACCATTCTTCAACAAGTCTTGCGGTATGTTTTGGTCGTCATCTTGTATGAATATAAACTCATCAAGTCCCATTTCACGTGCAGAGGGTAATAGATTCTATGCTAAAATCTGTTTTTAAGTTGCTGCTGTCATAGTTGATTATATTTCAATAAGTCCCCCTTACCCTGTGAGTAAATATAACCCCAAAACATAAGACATCCACCTCCATGTTTTACCGTAACAACAGTATTCTCAGGTTTATACCTTTCATATAGTAAATAACGCACGTATTGGATTTCATCACTAGTAAATAAGTTAAATTTACACTCATCAAAAAAAGATAATGATATTCAAAGTTTCATTTGAAATACCTAAAAATTTTTTTAATAAATCAAATCTTTTAACTATGTTTTGTGGTCTCAATAGTAGTTTTTTAGCAAGTTTTTTAGTTATTAAACCAAAATCCTTTAGAATTCTTGTTACAGTAAACCTAGAAATTTCAATTTTGAAGTTATTACAAAAAATTTTTGTAATATCTATTAAACTCAATTGATGATTTTTATCATAAATCTTAAACAATTCAAATTTTAAATCATCATTTAGCTTTTCATGCCTTCCTGATCCATATTTACGTGTAATTGGGATATTTCAATCTATTTTAAATTTAACATTTAAGACGGCAGTCTTACTTACACCTCTTTTAACCACAATCATTCTTTGACTAATTCCTTTTAAAAGATCATCCTTAATCAACACTAATAACTCGTATGATAATTGTTTAGACATTAAGCTTTCAAAAATACTGTTTAAATATTAAAAATGGAGGGAAATTTTATTATGGTCTTATTTTTTTGCAGATATTTTTTAAAAAAATTTCTATACTTACATAAAAACATAAAAGTATAAAATGTTTTTAAATTCATTTCTATAATTTTAAATTAATGTATACTGTGAAAGAAAAAATTTTTTAATTGTGACATGTGTGTGGTTTTGTGAATGATTTTTTAGGTGGTCTTACTTTTTTGCTCAATTTTGTATATAACCTTTTTATATTTTAAGAATACACTTACACTTATTTCATATACTTTCGAAATTCTGAGTATGAAGACTTCTACTAAAATTTTAAAAGGTTCCATTATGATTAACAGTGATTTTGAAGATAGCAAACAAATAATACCGAATCTTATTAATACGCCATTCGTCATAATGTACTACACTTCTCAATAAAAAAAGTTTTTTTAATGATGATAAAAATGTTAAGGTGGTTCTATTAGCTATGACAACCTTCGAAATTTTAACTTGGTGAATGACAAATCTGCCAAAGTAATTACTCATGTTCTCTTTCAGACTTTTGCTGTGATAGTATTTTTATTTGTGTCTAAATAGACTTTAATCTATTAGAATTATCATACAATCACTTTGGAATGGGTGTAAGTTTCTTTAGTATACAGTGGTGTTCAAAAAAAAGAGCTAGGTATTTTTTAAAAGAAAACATTTAAAAATATATTTTAGATGAAATTTAAACAATTATTCTATTTTTAAATAAATAAAAGAAGTTTAATGTAAAAAAGAAATTAAATAATATATCAAATAAATTATACTTTAAATTAAAAATTTTAAAACACTGTTCAAAAAAAGAGCCACTTAAAATTTAATAATCAACATGTTTGTCTTTAGCATTGTAAATTGCTAATACTCTCTTATTAAAACTTATAATATATGGCTGTACCATCTTCGATGGTAAAAAAATTCCATATCCTTAAAATTTCTTTTTTAAGTTCTTGTTTCTTTAATTTACCCTTTTTACTAAGTTCTTTTTTAATAAAAGCCTATATATACTCAATAGGATTTAAATCCGAGTTTTGAGATAACAAAAGTAAGATATCAATTTCTTTTGCATCAATCCAGTCTTTAACAACTCCTAAAGTGTATTTTGGATCTTTATCATGCATAAAAATAAATGATTCAACAATATCTATTTCATTAGCTAACTGTCTCAAATTTTTTGCTAAAATTTGTTTATAAACAGCCCCTGTCATACTATTTTCGATAAATACTAGTCTACTAACACCTTGATATGATACACACCTAAGATCATAACACATCCTCCTCCATGTTTTACTGTAGGTACAATTTTTTTACTGTTATGTCTTTCTCCTAGGTAATACCTAACATATCTTACCTCATCACTAATATATAAGTTTATTTTCATTTCATCTAAAAAATTATCCTTTTAAGTGTTTAATTCTTCATTCCTAAAAAATTTTTACAAATTTCAAATCATTTTTCAATATTGATGGGTCTTAATAAAGGTTTTTTCACTGTCAAGTTAGTTATTAATCTTAAACTACTTAAAAATCTTGATATTGTGGGTCTAAACACCTTTAAATTAAATTCCTCATTCAATTTTCAATTATTTCCTTGGATGAAATAAATGGATTCTTGTTATAGAGATTTTTAATAAATGGCTTCATGAAATTATTTAATAATTTAAGATGACCAGAACCTTGTTTACGATCATTTAGAATATTATTTATGAGGTTTTCAGTTATTCTCTGTACAGTTCTTCTAGCAAAACCTCTTTTAATGGAAATTTGGTTTAAACTTAATCCTGAATTAATACAATCACAATTAAAGCTTTGTCGATATCATTTAAATGTCTTGCCATATAAAAAGGCTTCAAAAATGATTTTAAAAAATGAAAATTATAGGGAAAATCAAAATGACTCTTTTTTGAACAGTGTTTTAAAATTTTTTAACTTAAAGTATAATTTATTTGATATATTTTTTGATTTATTTTTACATTAAACTTCTTTTTTATGATTAAAAACAAAATGGTTGTATAAATTTCACTTAAAAAATATTTTTTAATGTTTTCTTTCAAAAAATACCCTGCTCTTTTTTTTGAACACCAATGTATTTCAAAATTACTTTCAAAGAAAATCAAATATTTTAATAATTATCTCTCTTCCATTGTTCACCTTTATCTCCGATCCATATTCAAATTTGATTGTTAAACCATTTATAATACATCTGTAGTATACTACTTAAAGGTACATTAAAACTTGATAATATTAACCCAATGCAAATAGAAACATATTTACTGTAGTTAATACTCCTATTGTTAAAATATCTAAATACCACTTTATCTCTTTTCTAGAGTATGGTCTAGTTTTCATATCTTGTTGACAAGATAGACACTACACATACCTCTTTAATACGCCCTTGGTGCGAAGAAACTCTATCAAATTTTCAGTTAGCACACGCAAAAGCGGTTCTAAAACAATGCTATACCAATGATTAATGGGTTAAAAAATTTTTCGAAAAATATTTTATTGTGTTTTTTTAATATTTTTATGTTTTTAAGCCCCTTTTTTTCACAAGTGGGAAAAAAAAGAACTTGATGCGAATATTTTTTTAAAAATTTTTTAACCAATGATTCATTGGTTATGTAATGTAATAGAACCATTAATTAGTGGTCCTGTAGAAGACCTAATAGAATTTCTACATATTAAAGGCAATTTCAAAAGGTATGTAAAAACTGGAACATATCTTTTATACATGGAAAAGAAACCATATAGTAGAAATAGTGATGGCATGGCGTTCAGGTGTTGTAATAAAAATTGTAATGATTTCTCTAAGCATGTTTCAATACTTTTCGAATCACTACTATCAAGCTTCACTGTACTTCTGAAAAGTATATTATTAGTGGCTTGTAAATGATTTAATAACCATACTCATATACAGATAGGTAATAATGTGGATATTGGAAAAAGTCAATTATTAAAATTATTGATTTACTTCGTAATCAATGTTTTAAACATGAGACTAAAAACCCAATTCACTTTGGCGTGGATGGTATGACTGACTAAATATACGAAAGTTTATTTAAACATAAACAGAAATATTTTCGAGGTAGAAACCAACAAGAGAGATTTAGGTGTTTGGACTAGTTGATTGTTCATTTACTTCTGTAAAAACCTCGTTACATGTTGTTTTTAACATAACTGCTAACACTCTACTACTAATAATAAAACGAGTTTGTGTCCCAGGAATAATAATCTATAGTGATCAGTGGAAAGCATATTTAGGCATAAATAGTAAATTAAGATTTGCACATTTTACTGTTAATCAAGTGAAAAGTTCGTATCACATTAACGGTGTTTATACTCAAAAGATTGAAGGTGTGAGGAACAATTGCAAATATGTTATTAAAATACATAAATGAATTGTAGAATCTAAACTTACACTAATTTTATCTAAATAAACTTAGAAAATAATTTAGGTTTAAATAGGGCATTAGATGATTTATTGAAATTATTGAGTTTTGATTAAACTGATTTTTTATTTATTTTTTTACTTGTTATTATTGTGGGTAAATTTTTGCACTTGATCTAATAAACTAATCAAAAAATCTATTTTAACATTACGAGAAAAAGGTAAATTTTCTTTACATATGTAATTATAAAAAGGATTAGTTTCATTTTTTATAATTATAAATTTGTAAGATGTAAGAATTTTTAGAATAATAATATATAAGTTTAAAATTGAAGGAAAATTTGGTAATATTTATTATATTGTTAAAGGTGTGGTATTTAGTGGGTTTATTTGAATTTGAAATTTTAACATTAATAGAAATATTTTTTATATTAAAAAAAGAAAAAATTGTTTGAAAATATAATTTGCTTGCTAAAATATTATAAAAAATTCAAAATAGAAATACAACGCGTGTAATATAAATGATTTAAGTTTTGTATTATTTACATTACTTTATTATTAAAAAGATTTTTAAAATTAATGAATTTATTTTATCATTTAACTTTTCATTTTTAAAAATATTTTTTAAATAGGATCAATTTTATATTTAAACTGTGATATATAATTAAAAGTATTTTTAATTATAAAAAAATTTTAATTGCTGAAACCAGTAGAGAATGTAGTATAAAGTTTATTCATATAATTCTATCTTCTAATTGAAATTTTTCCTATGTTGTAAGAGGTTTTACTGTTAGTGTGTTTATAATCTTGTTGGTCGTATTATCTGTCTTATTTTCGATATTCATAAGTAAAATTTTTTACAAAAAATTATTAATCAGAAGATCACCTTAGAAAATAAAATTTACATAAAAAATACAGCATATCATCGTTTTAACTTTTATGTTTAAGTCAATAATATTATTTTTTAATGATTCTAATGAGAATTAATACTTAAAGGTATTTAATTTATTTCTATCACTATTTCCTAAAATAATTAATCTATTTTCAATAATCCCTAATATTTTAAATTTTTGGTTGATGTAATTTAATTCATCACTTGTTATTTTTATAAACATTTTACAGAAATTATCTTTAAATCTATAACTGCATTTTTAACGTTTATTTCTATAATTAAAAAGCTTATTTAATTTTTACTTTAAAAATTATTATTTTTTGATTAAATGCATTGAAACAATTGTTTAAAAGTTATATAATTTATTCATTTTCTAACAATTTTTTATAAAAATTGATTGAAATGTTGTTCTTATACAGTGGTGGAAAATAAAAATGAGACTAACTTAAAGTTTTGTTTAAAAAAGTATTTTAATAAAATTTTATATTAA